GAATTTTCCACTTCTTTCCATTTTTGGGAGCCTTCTCTTACTCCCACCTTCTCACCATACTTCAGAGGGTCGTGAACTGCCCTCCCCACTTCTTCGTAGCAACCTCTCATACCCATCCTCTAAATGGGCGGTGACAGCTCCCTCCTTGCGTCACGTGATCACCACTCGGCCAATGATGTCCAGCCGGCGTGTACGATCCCGCGGCTTTGTTTCAGGAAAAAAAAATATATCTCGCTAAAAAAAAAAATTATTTTACCCCGGTCTCATCTGGACATCGTCAGTCAGATTATCGCTAATTATCAGAATGGGTGGTCTATTTAACACGGCCAGACCGTCGCCTCGAAAAGAAACATTTCTAGGTTTCCAGTCACTCTTTGGTGAACATTACTGATAGCATCGTTTTATTATCGCAGCTAAAGATGTCTTGTCAAAAGAAAAACGGTCAGTCGCCACCTCGTGTGCGGCTTTGACACAATTAATTTTTCATATCTATCCAAAGCCCTGTAGTTCACCTGTTTTTTGTCAATTATCAAAATAACATTTTCAATTGGATTTTTCTTTGGCTAGTCGGTCTGTGGTTTGCTTGAACACAACGATTCCTTTATCCACTTTGAAATTTTCTGCCATTGTAATGACAGTTTTTGTCATTTGCTACTTATCAAAATATCCTTTATCCATTGTCTCTTAGTCGTGGGTGTCATACTTATCATCCACGTTTGGGTCTCGCCTCTCTTTTCCTTTCTTTCCTTCCTCTCTTTCCTTTCTTTTCCTTTTTGCCTTGGTAAATGGTGCCACAGAACCAAGGAATGTAGCTCGTCAGAACACATGGAAATAGCGATAGATTAGTGAGAAGCTTGCAACCTTTTGTCTGTGGTAAAGAGGTTGTTGGGTGAAAAATAATTCATCACCCACAAGGCTACATAGACGATTTTGGACCCTGTCAAAGCAGGAAAGTGAGAATTGGTCAGCTTCAGCCCAGATATGGCAGCAACATTTTCCGTCTGATCTAACCCTTTTAAAGATAGAGCATGACGGGAAGGGTCTGGTATTTTCCAGAACGATAGAAGGAAATGAAGTGTAATTTATATTACATTTCTCTGTTAAAAATTTTTGTTGTCAATTTTCTAGAACTAGCGGAAGCCAAGTGTTTTGTTTTCAACTTAGGCTTGGACTGACAGAATGATACATACACACTAGGAAACCTTTTCGTGTTCTTTTAAACTTCATTTCAGCCTAATCAAGGCAATAAAGCCACTAAGACTCAAGGAGTTATTGAACATGAAAGAATATGAAACCAAAAAGAGGAAACAATAAATGAACATGAATTAAAAAGACAATATATAATGACTGAAACTGCGTTAAGATTTTTGAAGATCAAAGTTGACTTGGAAGCCAGAAGAGAGTTCCAGAAGCGACAAGTATAAGAGAAGAAACGGTTAGCACATGTACCAGAACCTGATCTTTGAACACTAGAGAATTATAAATTGACCAATCATCCCTTCTCTAAATATATTTAAGCTATATAAAATCTATTTTACTGCTATCTTTTAATCACTATAGAGTTCTTTGTCTTCTATGAGCATGGCTGATGGTAACCTCCAAGAGAGCGAGTCTTAGCGTCTTCTTGGTCTCACGTTTTCTACTAACATGAAGGGTATTGATTATATTGAATCAATTGCTAGGTCTGCTGCTAGGAAAGTTGCTTTACTGTATCGTACCAGATAATTTTTCTTATCAGAATACATTTTGCACATTTATAAATCTACCATTCGTCTGCGCATTGCTGCCATATCTGGTCTAGTTCTCCGGTTATATATCTCGAGATTCTTGATACATTCCAAAGAAGTGTCTGTAATGTTATCGGTCCTGACCTGGCATCTCGACATCAGTCACTTTCTCGCCAGCGTGACGTGGCTTCCCTCTGTCTTTTCTGTAAATATTTCCATGACAATTGTTCTGATAAGCTTTTCTCCTTGATGTCTTGACCGCATAAATTTAAGCGTGTGGCTTGATTGGCAGGTAGGTCTCATCATTTTATTGTTGAATTAGCTAAATGCAACCATGAGTTCTATTCTAATAGTTTCTTTTGTCGCCTTTCCCGTCAGTAGAACTTTCTCTTTACCACCTGCAATCTTCGCTTGGTTTGGTTTGGTTTGTTTTCTTTTACGGCATATCGACCTCAATGGGTTATTTAATGCCGACAAGATTTTTATTGCTGGTAATGTTTTTTTTCAAAAAATGTATTCCTGGTAATATTTTTTCCCAAAAATGTATTGCTGGTAATATTTTTCTTTTTCAAAAATGTATTGCTGTTAATAATTTTTCGAAAAAGGTATTGCTCGTATTAAAACCTATTTTCATACTTTCAAAGTGTTTTGACTCCTTTTGGTTGGGTTAACTATTTTCCCATAGCTGGAGCTCTGATAGATGCTACCACCCCGGGTCAGGGTGGACCTGGGAACACCAGCAATTAAAAGGTGGTTCCACGCTCCTTAAAAAAACCTCCTTATCAGAGGCCTCGCTGTTGGATGTAGTTTATCGTCTTACTCAGAACGCGAATGTAGTTTATCGTCATACCCAGGACGCGGATGTGATTTATCGTCATACCCAGGACACGAATGTCGTTTATCGTTTTACCCAAGACGCGGATGTAATTTATCGTCATACCCAAGACGCGGATGTAGTTTATCGCCATACCCAGGACGCTGTTGTAGTTTATCGTCATACCCAGAACGCGGATGTAGCTTATCGTCATACCCAGGACGCCGATTTAGTTTATCGTCATACCCAGAACGCCGATGTAGTTTATCGTCATACCTATGGCGCGGATTTAGTTTATCGTCATACTCTGGACGCTGCAATCTTCAAAAATTTAAATGTAACACGAATCAAAATATTCTGTCTTCCTGAATCATGTTCTTTATCGTCCTTTCTCTTTACTAAAGTCTTTTAATCTTCTTTCACCTCCTTTTGCGTCTTAGTGGCATTATCGCCTTACTTTTAGTTAAATTATAAAAAAAAACTCTCTTTTGTCTATTCCCATCTTTTGTGATTTTCGTTCACTCTTTCCACAAGACCTCTTCGATATGTGCTGAGTGCCGACGTTACCAAAACGGCAGCCAACACCAGAAGTTGATTGATTGCTTGGCATTTGTATTACAGTTTACTAGAAGGTAGAAATCAATGAAAGACATGTTTATCTAAGCATTTATTTGGAAGCAAGCTGTTTTACTTGCAATGTTCAAAGTGCCCGCCCACATGATCAATGCCCAATTGTTGCCGAGGAGACACAGAGAGGCATACACTCTCGCAGAGTTTGATATCAATTCCCTCAGACTTCACAATAATTTCAGCTTTCAATTTATGAATGTTACGAAAAGTTTCGCAATAAACCAGATCTTCTATGAGACGCAGAAAAGAAAAAGGAATAAATTTGGGTAACGTTTAACCTTTGAACTCGCAAAAGAAATGGTGTGTTAAAAAGACGGTTTTTCTCTTGACACTACTATTACTGTGTACGCTCTTGACTCCCTCAGCAATGTTTATTATTTTATAAAACCTATGCTTAGAATTTTAATAACAAAACTGTCACACGGTATTTAGTTGTTAAATTGTTTATTTGCAAGATTCATTTTATATTATTAAAAAAAAAAACGACTTTTTTTTCCTGGCGTATCAGATATCGGCGCGGAAAGTAGAACCGACGGTCCGAGTTCAAATTTCAGTTTAGTCTGTTGGATATGCTTTCGGTGCAGTGGATAGCGGCTCGGTATGGGAAACTGGGGAGCTAAGTTCGAATTCCACTCAAATTCATTACATTCACTTATACAAAAATATCCTTGGGAAAGATAGGAATCCATCTTTTCGTATCTTCCTAGCTATGAGTTAAATAGTAGGACTTGTATTTGGTTTGGTTTGGTTTGGTTTGCTTTACACCATATCAACCTCAATGGGTTATTTAATGCCGACAAGATTTTTATTGATGGTAATATTTTTTAAAAATGTATTGCTAGTTGTTGTAGAGTAGTTTTTACGGCGGGGGCTTGTATTTCAATAAGTCGTCCTAAATTAGGTTCGACGTACAAAACGTTAGGAACTTGAAATAAGAGTTAATGATGCAGCAAATCTAGTTGTGATGGATGATAGTTCAATGTCCGACATCGACTGACTCACTCAACACCACTGGGCCCAACTGGCCACTGCTACTACTACTTATTATCTGTGGGAGAGTCTATTACAATAGAATAGGTATTATGGTATAACACTAGTAATAATTTTTTTTTTCAAAAAAGGATTGCTGGTAATAATGTATTGCTGATAATTTTTTCTTCAAAAATTCATTGTTGGTAATATTTTTTTTACAAAAATGTATTGCTGGTGCTAAAACCTATTTTTACCCTTTCATAGTATTTCCACGCCAGTTTGAGGGTTAACTATTTGCCCATAGCTGGGACCCTAGCAGGTGCTACCACCCCGGGTTTGAGTGGACCTAGAAACACAAGCAATTAAGAGGTGGTTCCACATCTCCTCATAACCTTCTGATGTCTTGTTGTCGGATGTAGTTTATCTTCTTACCCAGGTCGCCTTGTATCTGGAAAAGTCATTGTGATTCTTAAAAGATTTATTAGTGCAATATTCACTCCCCACTCTTCCCCATAACAAAAAATTATTTTTACACTTCAAAATATGTTTCGGCTTTAAATAACCTACAATGGGTTGATAAGCCGTAAAAACAATCAATGTGTTCAGTTTCTGACTTTGGAAAAGCATAGGACCAGATCTTCTCTCTTAACTTTGGGTCAATTGACGAGAAGCATGAATGATGTTCTCTAGCGTTCATTGGTAAACCTGTCTAAGAGAAGAGATATTACCAACTGAAGAAAGCAACGAGAAAATACTCCACTATCTTTACCAAGAAGTTATGGCAATTCACAAATAATAATAATAAAAAGGAATTTGTGGAGAGACATGAACGTCTTATTACTCTTTGACTCATTAGGCTTGCGGCCATATAACGTTGAAACATTGGTTTCCGTATGATTACTGACGTTAAGCAATATCGAGCCTGGTCAGTACCTAGAAGGGTGATCGCTTGGGAATATAAGGTGCCATAAGATTAGATGTGTGCGGGTGGTGTAATGAATGATGGCTCAGAATTGTTAATCAGAGAACCAAGTTCCAATTCCCGTTAGGTTCATTATATTCACTTATGCTCAATTGCGAAGGTATGAATTCCCCTTTTCTCCCTCCAGCTATGGATTAATTAGTAAGACCTGTATCACTAAACCATTATCTCCCCAAAAATTTTACAATCTAAAAATATTTTCTGACTTTAAATAACCTGCAAACGGTTGACAATCAATTAACGAATCAATTAATCAATCTTTTATCCATTGATCTTTTAAAGTATATAAAGTTTTACTTTGTTTTTAATCATTTCACCCCATGCAAGGCAGTAAAGTCACTAAGACACAAGGGGTTACTGAGTGTGAAAGAATAAGAAAAAAAAAGAGAAACATTATTAAGGAACGAAAACAATAGAAAAGTAATCAAGAAGATAAAGATTGACATTGCATTTAAATTAGTTTTCTAATCATTTGACCCCATGCAAGGCAGTAAAGCCACTAAGACACAAGGGGTTACTGAGTGTGAAAGAATAAGAAAAAAAAGAGAAACATTATTAAGGAACGAAAACAATAGAAAAGTAATCAAGAAGATAAAGATTGACATTGCATTTAAATTAGTTTTCTAATCATTTGACCCCATGCAAGGCAGTAAAGCCACTAAGACACAAGGGGTTACTGAGTGTGAAAGAATAAGAAAAAACATTATTAAGGAACGAAAACAATAGAAAAGTAACCAAGAAGTCAGAAGACATCAAATGATATTGCATCTACATTTTTGAAGTTGGCTGGCAAGCATGGATGAGAGTTTCTCAAGTAAGAAGTGCGAGAAAAGAAACTGTTAGCATAGAACTTACGGTTACATCTAGCCACTTCAACTCTGAATTTATGGCACCTTGCCGCCAATCTTCTACTGTGCTTAAATTCATAAAGTCTAGGAACCATTACGAAGAGTTCCTCAGAACAATTACCATGAAAGTATTTATCGAAAAGACACAGGGAAGCTACACTATGGCGGTGGGAAAGTAACTGGAGCCGAAATGCCAGGTCAGAGCCGATAATAATTCAGTTTCTTCTTAGAATCTCTAAATATATAGCAGAAGCACAGGGCCATATGTGGCAGGAATATTTTTTTCTTTTTGGGCGTGACAATTTCCAATTTTTTTCAATTTGTGTTGCTTTTCTAGGACAACGAGTGTGAAATATATTAAGCGAGACTAACATTTGCTTAGAGCGACCAAGGGTAGGAAGCTGCAGAAGAAAATATAATATTTGATAATCCTTTCGTAGGCGTAGG